GCTCTGTCCCAGCCCCACTCACCGTCCTGGCCGAGCTCCGGGGCCGAGGGCTCGGCTCTGTGCTGCGGCTCGTACACGATCATGGGCACCTCCCGGCGGTGATGCTTCTCTCCGGACATGGCTGCAGCTCACTGCGCAGGGAGGCACAGCAAAACCTGCTCTCCGTGCCCTGCCTTTGCTTCTCCAGCTCGCAAACTCAGGTGCTGCTTAGAGGGAAATGAGCAGTTCTCACACTGTGGCTTTTTTGTAGGCTGGCGACCAGTCAGCTCCTGTCACACTTCATGATGAGGAAGGTGGAGAGCAGAAAATACCATCTTAACGCATTTCTTTGTGCTGGGAAGTTAAAAATGTTCCCCCAGAAAGTGTGCAAACTCTTGACTGAAAGAGTTACCTTTGCAGAAAACTTAACCTATTCTTTTTTCTATGGATTGCTAAAGTAATCAGGGAAGGGAAGAGCACACTTGGAGCACCTGTGAAAAACCTTCACGTGTGATTAAGTCAGTGCAATCAGCGGCAATTCGGATCTGTCTTTCTTCGGATTATTGTGCAACCTTATCACCATTGTTATCGTGACCGCTTGTGTCCTGTGAAACTATTGTCTCATCGGTAGGTGACAGGCTTTTGTTGGGAAACATCCTTATTACGAATGACTGCGCTGCCTGAGGCTCTGAGCAAGACGAGGCCACGAAATGTGTGTTTGCAGGTGTTAGCAGGAGCTGATCCTCGCAAGAAAGGAGGGTGGGAGGAAAAGAACACGGAGGGAAATGTGCGTTTGTATTACTGTCAGCGGAAAGGCGCTAATTATTCCTTGCTGCCCCTTGGACCAATATTAACTGGTTGATTTCTAATATTTGCTGTGAGTGTCCTTTGCAGAAGAAAGGCACAGCCTTTTAGCACAGGTCAGTGAGTGTTTTTGGGGAAAAGGAGCACAGATGCACAAACTGCACGAATGTGTTAGATCAAAGAAAAGCAGCAGAGGAACTGCTGGGCAAGGCAGGATGGTCTCAACAGGTTTGCAAGGAGTGCTGGAGGAGGACAAAAGAGGAAGATCAGTAGAGCTGAGATAAAGCATCAGCCCTTCAGAAAGGGGGAGGGGGGAGGGCGGAAAAAGGGAATTTGAAAATATCACCAGGGAAGATGTGCCGGAATTTTCACAAATCTGGATGAACGGCAGGTGATACGAGAAACGATATCAGAATGAATAATAAAGGGATTAGGTAGGTGTAGAGAAAAAAACCCAGAAATACAGCACTGGCCATGTTAAGGCCAAAGTGCCGATGGAAATTACAAATATTTTGGTGGGAGAGGATGGCAGAAAGGTGCATCTCAGTATGATTGTTATAAAGGAGCTAAAACAGGGGATTGGGAATGGCAGAGATGTTAATAGGCCATTGTTGAAGTTTCATGAGGATCCCAATGAGAAGAAAAAAGGTGAGAGTCAAGAGAATTTGGGTAGGATGAAGCTGTGAGAACCAAGGGAGAGGAAACAGAGTTTGCCATTAATGACTGTGGGCTCAGCAGTGTGGTGATAGATAATTGACATTAGCCGGTGTTGGCCAAGAGCTGTTCCCCTGGAACAGGGATTAGTGCGGGAATTACAGGGAGTTTCCAAGTTTTTGTCTTATTCCTATCTTGGTACGCTAAATACTGGGTGGTGTCCCTTCGGGTGACACTTCTGCAGAATTCATCACTCTGTGAAGCAGGAAAAAGAGGAAAGAGCTTTTGAATTCCATCCAGTGCCTGTAAGCCCAGGCAGGCGCCTGCAAGAGGCACAGGGTAGGAGGGAATAATAATGGCTAACACAGTGAGAACTCGTCGAGTTAACTGCGGAGTGCAAGCACACTCTGACTAATGCTGGCTCCACCCAGCGAGGTGTCAGGATAACATCACCAGGTAAATGTGTAAGACACGAGGTGCAAAAGTGAATCAGCAGCAGAGCAGGGAATAGTGTGGGCTGCCAGGTTTGTGTTTGATCTATTGGAGTTGCGGGCTGAGGCTGTTGATAATTTGAATTGTTGAATTTGCTCATTTTCAGTGCCTTGTCCTGCCGCAGCAGCTGTGAGTGCGGGAGGGAGGAGCTGCCCCAGGGCTGGGTGGGCTCAGCTCCTCCTCAGCCTGTGGAGAAAGCACCCGGGGCTTGGATACCCTCTGAGCCTGGGTGCTGCACTCCAGAGGCCCAGGAAAGGCGTTTTCTAGGGTTGTTTATGCAGTTCTGCAGACCCTTTAGTTTGGCACAGAAGTGCTTACTCTGTGTTCTTGGCCCCAGCAGTGTATAAGGTGCACAGAGCCCTTTAGCACCGTGACTCCCAAACCTGTAGGTGTTGTTGCCATAAATTAGAGCAAGCGATTTCCCTCTTTTTCAGATGTTGGAGAGGAAGATAAGGGAGAAAGCAGTGTGAGTAGCCCTGGAGGGAAAAGTGAGGAGAAATATCAGGAAGCAGTTCCTGAAGAGCAGGAAAATGCCCTATAAACTTGCCTACAAAAACACCCAAGAGGGTCCCAATTAATAGCTTAGGAGGGTCTCAATTAATAGCTTAGGAGTGATGTGAGTTGCCCTCTCTGCAGCCACCCAGAGCAAGCAGAGCTCTGTTCGAGGGCTCTCCTGGGGTGGGCTCTGCCTTTGTCCGAAGCAGATTGACTCAAAGTCCTGCAAACTGCTGGATTTGCAGGCAGAACTGCCTAGTCCCAGGGGCACCAAAACAATTCCCTGTCTTCTCCCAAGTTTTAGGCTCGTCTACATATGGATATGAACCGGTTTGCATTGTAAAATAAAGCTGACTTTGAGTCCTGTGGAAATCAGTATTTAAAAAAGAAGTAAATCACACCCTGAGGCATATGCACAAAGAGCCAGTTCAGTGAAAGTAAGGTGCAAATGACAAAGCCTTTCTGTTCCAGGAGGGACAGATTCCAGGGGAGGATGGGCAGGCAGCTTCCATCATCTTCCTCTGATTTGCTCCAGGGTCTTGTGTTTGGGTGTGAAGAGCAGCCTGATGCAGCAAGCAAAGCTGATGAGCTGTGAAATTCCAGGGCACAGCCCCACTCCAGCTCCCACTCTGCACATCCCTCCTGAGTGTCCCTGCTGGCTAAATAACCCCAGAGATGGGATTAACTCCAAGTGTGCCTGCAGGGACACAGGCACTGCCATCTCTGCTTGGAAAGGGGTTTCATTTGAAAATCCAAGTTCCCTGCAGTACTAATGCTTCTCTCAGGTTCATACCTGGCTCTCAAGGATGGCATCTCAACAAGCAGTGACTTTATAAGAAGTGTTTAATCTCCTTTCCAGCTTCAGCTGATGTCAGTGTGGGATTTGCCATTCAGTGAGAGCGTGTTCAGAGATAGAAAAAAGGGAACATGGAAATGGGAGGGAACTTTAAGATTTGGGAGTTTGAAGACTATAGGATACTACATCCAAAAGTTTGGTATTTTGGAAGATTAGCATTAAAACATTATAGTAAATAATCTGTATATTTCATGTGGAGGAATAGCAGTTTTCTCCAGTGGCCTGTTGGCTTGTAGGATACTGGCCCAAAGGCTTTCAGTTTGCTGCAATGTGTTCTGGTTCTCCTGTCATCACTAGTTTAGTGTTTTCCTGGGCTTTTAGCCCTTCCAGCTGTGTTTATGAGGCAATTTAAATTTCTGATATTTTAAAGAATGGCCATAAAATGCCATTGCTGGCGTGCAAATGCATCTAGGGCTTGAACAATATCAAGAGCCTGTTTCTCTTGATGGAAGCAGTTAATTCCAGTTTTTGGCTAGCAGTGAAACACTGAATTCCTCAGTGCAGAGATCTTTTCCCTTTAGTCCTGAGTTGGCCATTTCAGGTAATATTCACAATGTGCTGAGGGTTTTCAGATGTTCAAGAAGGAATTGTTCCAGCTCTAATACAAACATAGCTGGGGAGCAGCACTCAGGTATTTTCCTATTCTCATTCTTAAATAGAAGCTAAAAGAGAGGACTGCTGGCAGAGAATGAGAAGTTGGACTTTAGAAAGTATTCATTATATCTGAAGCAGACAACCTTTTCACAGAGATGAACACTCTGCCAATTCCCCATTCTTTACTCATGAAATTAATTTTTTAACATCAGTTATTCTGGCTTTTAAGCCCGAATCAGGTCACCAGCCTCCTCAAATGGAGAGGATGTAGCTGAGGGGGATTGACTGAATGTGCACCACATTTCTTGCTGCAAACTCTTCACCTGGGTCCCTTTCCTTGTCTGTTGACTGCCTTGACTCACTCCCTGATCTGTGCATTCACAAGGCTGCTGGAAAGGCAGGCACTGCCTGGATTTTCCAGTCCTGTCCCACATCAGGTGTTTGTGTTAGGTTAATCCTTCATGAAGGGAGCCCCGGTCTGTAATTCAGGACATTTACTGCTCCTGTTGCTCTCACCTTAGAGCAATTCCAAACACTGTAAACTTTCACAAACCTTCTAGTCTGGAATTATTAACAGTAGTTTCTTGCTGTGTGCTATTGTGGCAGCATTGTGCTTTTACAGAAAACCTTCTCCCCTCGAGCCAGCCCAGAGAACATTCCTGTCCCCTTTGCAGTCTGTCCTTCACAGGCCTAAGCAGGGTTTTGAGTCCCTTTCATTTCTGTACAGTGAATTCATCCTTCTTGTCCATGAAAGGTCAGTGATCTCTGTCCTCAGCTATGGAATGTCATCTTGTAGTTAATGGAAAAGTTGTCTGCAGAATAATCCAGCAGCACTTATTTCCTTTTCCCAGCCACCTCATGCTGTTGGTTTGTAGTTAAGTTGTCATTAACCAGCAGCAGGTCTTTCTCCTTCAATGTCATTCTGTTCTAATGAAATCCCAGCTTGCAGCTGGAATTTTTGGTAGTTTTCTAGGTGCTCTGCTTTGTCACATTGTAATGCACACAAATACTGCCACAGCAGGTCTCTGACTTTTCTTATTCAGGGTAATAGATTTTCCGCTTCCATCATTTGTTTCTTAAGTCATACATTTTATTAGCCACTCCTATATTTCTGCCAAGGTTATTAATTAAAATACTGAATAAGATCCATCACTGCTTTCTGTGCTACCTTTGATGCAAACCAGGTTTATCTATTAAACCCCGTTCCTTAATTTACTGTCTGAAGTATAATCCCTTGTTCCCTTG